AATGCTTGCAGAGGAGAAGCAGCTTGGTGGGAAGATGTTTATGAACGCCTGCTTTCTGACCTCCTTTCCCTTTTCCCTTCTCCTTCTTCCTTTCTTTCTTCCTTTTTCTCTCACTCAAACTGATATTTCCCCCCTTTTTATAAAGGTAGTACACTTGTTTTTTTTTTTTTTTTTTAAAGTAGAAGTACCGATGAGAAGGTCAGAAAGATCTCACATAGTCACATCTTCTATAAATAACTACTCTTTATCTTTTTGGTGCGTTACTTTCACTTTTTCTTGCAGAAATTACACGACAACAAGCATTTTGTAGTATTATTTCCCTTTTGAAAGATTTGTTAAAAATGTTATCAAGAATTCTTTATCATTAAAAAAAGAATTCTTTATCATCATCATTTTAAATAGAGTGGATATGCTTATTTGGTAGATGCACCATAATTGGTTTGATCAATTCTCTATTTTGGATGATGAGATTTGTTGCCAGTATTTGGATGTTAAAGCAGCTTTACTCATGAACATTGCTTGGCAAAATCTTTGCTACATTATCGATGACTTCCTTCGTTTGCTGGGTCCGAGTGTGTCAGCGCTCCAGCATTTGTCCCCTGCTGGTGATGGGGATGCTCTGTTTCTCTTCTGGGCCCGCTGTGGTGTTCCCACCTCCAGGGAGTCTTGATTCTCCACTCACACATTTTCATTTCAGAAGCAGGCTCTGCAGATGCAGATCATTGTCTTCCTGCTTGTTTATATAACAGTGCAGTATGCTCTCTGTCCCTGGTGCAAAGTTTGAGATAGCTGTCTGGGTGTCCAGCTCATAGAAGGGCCACCCAAGAAATACTGAGATATTTAGTAGGTGAAATTTTTGCTCTGTCATTTTCAAGGCCTGTTATGGACCATGTACTATGTTTGGCATTTTTATTGATTTTTTAAAATTTAAGCTTTTACTCGGAGGTGTCAGGTAGAAGTTTTTCCTGATTGTGTTAGAAGTTAATCAGAAGCTGAGTTAGTTTTTCTCAGCTGGAGTCTGATGTTTGGCTCTCTCTACTACTCCTTTTTGCTTTTCCAGGTGTTAACCCCATTCACAGATGAGAAGCTAAGACTGTGGACAGGGCATGCGTGCCCAACAGTATTGTGCTATGATGGTGGGAGGGGGAGCCTGCGGCCGCTGCTTATCATGCCTTGTATACAGCACCGGAGTAGAAGGGCGCTTGGCTACATGGCCTTTTCCTTCCAAGAGTGGCAGTCCACAAGGTACAGCTGGCCCTCACTTGAACCTGCAGGGACAAGGGTCTGAATCCTGATTCTGGGCTCCAGCTGAACTATAAGCTGATCGAGGTACCAACTCTAACCCTTACCCCAACAGAAGCTGTCTCTTTGGGGATTTCCTGGGTTCAAGAACCCCAAGCATCTCAGTTACTGAGTGGGATGGAAACGCAAACATCATCATGACATTTGGGGGTATTTTCTTTCATAGCCATCAGGTCACAATTTCCCAGTATTTGATCAAAGAGTCTGAGGGCCAAAGACCTCAGGTGGAGACGTCCTCATGGTTCTCAGGGGCATGCTTTTTGAGGGTCATCTTTCCAGTTTGACATTTTTGTATCCCTGGGCCCACACAGTGATATTTAAGGTGGGTAGTGGCAAGATTCTCAAGTTTCCTGTCTGTGCATTGTGAAACATGGAGAAAAGCCATCACTTAAACATGGAACCAAGTAACACATCCGTGACTCCGGACAATATTTATGTGTATGCGCTTGTCAGTGGCTCATGGGGGAAAATTGGTTCCAAAATTAAAAAAAAAAAAAAAAAAAACACATAAATCAAAGTTAGTAACTGTAAATGCCTCCCCAATATAACATCATAACAGTGTAACAATTTATGAACTTTAACTCAACTCATATATCAACATTCATTTCAGTTAATATAGTATTATGCAAAATCAAGACCTGCCTCTATGTAATATTTACTGTGGGATATGGATGCATTTGGAAATGTCTAATACAATGGTAGAGGGTTAGGGGCAGTGAATGAGTTATTCAAAAGGAAGGGTGGCCCTGCTTGGATTTAGAATAAAGCAATGCAGGGCTCAAAACTTTTTGTACTGATGTTGTTCCCATTGTTCTCCAAGTAACGGGGTAGAAAATAGCTCCAACTCAATAATCCTATTAATTTTTGTATTTGTGAGGGCCAGTAAAGAGCATAGTGTGGCATTTAGTTAGACTGAGACTCCAAACCAGGAAAGGCAGTGTCCTTGTCCCCCAGGAAGATTTACAACCGTCCCACAAGTCCCCTCCTCTTGTCACTGGCTTTCTAACTCTGTACTGGGAAGGTGTTTAACTTCTCAGAGCTTCTGTCATCTGTACATTCTCATTTGTGAGATGGAGACAGTGAGACCCACTTTATGAGCATTAAATGAGATCATGTAGGAAAAGTGCTTAGCTCTTTGCCTGGCATGTAAGTTCCATAAATAGTGTTTAAGTTCACCTCCACTTTACCTGCCCCCAACAAAATAAAACAAAAATGATATAATCAATTTTGATCATAAAAGGTTGAGGCTAAATTTCTATATTGCCCATGAAAACCTGGCTCAAGATTTAAAGTCTATTCCTACTGAGGCAGCAGGCACATAATGGAGGCATGTAAACATTAAATCCTGCCTATTGTGTATTTCTGGAAAACTGTACCAGATGGGCCCCAGGTATCATGAGGGAGCCCTTAGGAATGCAGAAGTCAGGTTAACTGATTGGAATGGGGTAGTGGGCTTGTTAGCAGAAACCAGCCAGGCCTGGGTTCTTCCTGTTCCTTCCATTTGAGTCTAGTCCTAGTTAATGGTGAAGGGAAGGAAAAATTCCTCTCTACTCTCCAGGCCTTCCAGCTAAATTAAATTAAATTTACATGAGACAGATTAATAGAAAAATACCCACAAAGTTTTATTATACCAATAGCGAAATGGAGAACCTAAAGAAATCATCAAGGCAGGCAACTTTTATGCTTTTTAGGCAAAGAGGCAATAAATCAGTGAGGAATTGGCAAGACAAAGCAAACTTAACTCTGGGAGCTGCCAATCAGAATTTGGGCTGGGGTAGTTAATTAGTGAAAGGTAACAGGATTGTTTATATAGATTTCTGAGCTCTAAATTTCCTATCTCTGGTGATAAGGTTGTCTCTCCACCTCCTGGTACAGGGAGGGTGCCTCTCACGTGGGAGATTTATTTCCTGCTCTCAGGGGGACAGAGGAGGCTCTGAGTGTCCTCCTTACACAGGCTGTCTCTTCAGTAACTTTTATTTAAAATCACCAATATGCCAAAGTGGCACATTTTGGGGGAGCCTGCCCTTGGTCCCTATGCTGGATCCAAATGACCTCACATTTCATCTGAAGATCATCACTGATTGACATTATGCAGCTCTTAACTTTTTATAAAAGTTTCACAAGTAGGTCATCAACTCCTTAGTTCAATGTGGGATTGGTTAAGAGTACTCTTAACTCTTCTGGTCACCTTATCCTCCCTCCCTCCCATCCATCCAGTGTTTCAGCAAATGCTGAATAGTGCCTGAAGGTCAGCTTGGCCCAAACCCCTAAGAAGCTCCCTTTCCCAGAGAGAGGGTCTCGCATCAGCAAACAGTTTTGATGTTGACCCTCTCGAGAGGCAGTGTAATGCCCTGGATGGCGTTCAGAGATTGGAGGAGGGGCAGCCTCGGTTTGGCCCTGGCTCTGCTAACTTTTAGCTATGTGCCCTGGGGCAAGTCTTTAATCTCTCCGAGCCTCAGTTTCCTTATTTGTAGTCAGGGTTTAATAACAGTATCCACTTTCTGAGGTCGTTGGGAGGATTGAGTAAGAACCTGTATGTATGTATAGTGTGTGGCGTATAGTAGATGCTCAATAAATATTTGCTTTTTAAAAAGTTATACTAGAAGTTCAAAAAAACCTTTTGGGAGCCCAGCAAGGGGAGCAGTGAAGACTTTCTGGGGACGTCAGGGTATGACTAACTCTACCTGGAAGCAAAAACCTTTGAACTGGCTCTTTTCTGTCCTTGAGTAAATTTCCAGTGTAGGGAGGTCCTACCGCTCTTCTTTGGGAACCCTACTTTGCGGCTGCACACCCCAAGGCCGTTCCAGTTTGGGGAAAGGAGCAGCAAAGGGCACCCAGGGAAGCAGCCACTAATTGAGTGACTTTGGGCAAGTCACCCTAACCTCATCACAGATAAAATTCCCTTATCAGTGATAATGGGGCACGGACTACTGGCTGGCTACCTGACAGGCTTGCAATGGGATCAGGACAGATCTGCATGTGAAATGTTCAGCGGAGTGCCTGGTGCAGGCGAAGTGCCCATTACAAATTAGCTATTATTGTTATCCTTAGCTGAGTGAGACACAAGATGGCTTTGTCTATCAACATTTTGGAGAAGAGTACTGGGAGAGAAATTTCTGGGTCTCCTGGCTGCCACTTCAAGCAGCCAGTTTACACTTGAAAGCATCCGTTTGTTCAAAAGGTGAGCAAATCCAGGCCTTCTGTAGCCACAGCAAGAAAAAGAACTTTCTGCCTGGTCCTCACTCTTTCTGATTCTTTTTTTTTTTTTTTCTCTTTTCTTTATTTCTTTTAAAATAAATGTCTGCACACATGTTATTTATTTATTTTTGGTTAACGTTAAATTGAGGTTTTGACCGAAACTCAGCCTGCACATACTTGAAAAGCCATCAGGCTTGTTGGGCCGCGGATAAAGGTCTTGGGATTTCCCCATGGGGCTGCGGAGAGTACAGACAGGAAGCCCAGGACCGAGCGCCTGACCAGAACTTCCTCGGGGGAGGCTGGAGCAGAGCACGGCATCCTGCTCAGAACTCTCCAGAGTGCTCAGGCCAGAGCACTGCTCTGCTCCCAGGGGCATGCTGGAAGAGGGACCCCAGCCCTGACTCGTGGGTCCAGACCCAGCAGACAGCAGGAGGCTGAAGCCTCCCCCAGGGAGAGGCTGACACTCTCAGGCTGGAACCTTACATTCTGGCCCAACCTCTCTCCCCCCAACCCCCCCCTCTGCGCTGAGGAGGGAATTGAGAAGGGACTTTCCAGAGAGCGTTTGCGTGCAGGGTGTGGAAATGGAATAAAAGCATATGCAAATAGGCCTTTGCGTGCCTTCCTCTACTCCAGTGAGCAAGAGCCTTTCTCCAGAAAGATGCTCTTGCTCCAAGACACTTGACAGCTCTCTTCCTTCCCTGGACGGTGGTGGCAGCGCCGAGTGGAGTGGTAAAACCTGGGTAGGAAGCCATGCCCAAGGGGAGGGCTGGATGGACAGGCGGAAGGAGCAAAATGAGGGAGGGGAGAACCGGCCGCTGAATTGGAAAAGATAAAGTCAAATGAAATTTTAGGAGCTCTCTGTGAGTGTGAGCTGGGAAAAATAATCATTGCAAGCTGATTTATTATGTACTGATCTTCTGTCTGAGAGGCAGCAGGCTTTGTACAGTGGATTATTGCCGAGTAAATGGCACATTAAACATATAATCAAGATGTTTAAGGCATATTGAATGACATTAGAGTTAAAATAGGTGAGACTCTTGTCCTGGTCTATAAATATAAAAATATCAGTGGTTTGGAGATATTTCCAGTGCTTTAGTTAAGCTGTAGCTCCAGTTCCAAAAGGAAAGTATTTTTAACCTTTTGTTAGTTTCAGGGTGGGGTAGGGTGGGGTTGGGAAGTGGCATAGAACCTATACGGATCATAAAACAATATGCTTTAAACCCCGGCGTTGCAGACTGTGGCCTCTGCCTAGCAAGTCATAAACTTTCTTGCCGTGACTGTAGCGTGTAAATATTGCACGGTACCTATGAGGTGATCTGGGGGCTTAGGGAGTGGCAGATTATGTATGGCTGCTGTATTTTGTTTGTTGTTTCCTATTCTTGATCTCATTCAGTCTTTGGATATAAAAGTTTTTCTTTAATCTTTTTTTTACATTACTGGGCAAGTAGTGTAGCTCTTCTTTCTCGAAAGCTTAATTCTGTATTATTGTATTTTCTTGTCATTTGGGACCTTCACATTCAGTGCCCATTATTTCATTAGACTGCTGGGGCTTGCACTTGGTTTTGCCCCAAACCCTTCTGATGGCAGTGCTGGGCTGACATTTGCCCCCAAGTTGTTGATGATGGGTTTTTGAACAGAACAAATTTCTCTTCAGTTGTTTGTTTTTAATGAAAACCACCTTGTTCTCCTTATGCATTGTAGTCCTCAGGACAGAGTGTAGCACCAGGCCAGAGCTCTTTATGGTTGGAACTCAACGAGGGAGAGGAAGGTAGAAACCTTGACTTTGGGGTTTGCTCAGACTGCTTGGAATTGCTTGGGTTGTTAATGTGTGGGGTAGGTAGTGGTGGAGTCTTCTCTTGGGATTCCACCAGGCCCAGGTATGGGATGGGGCGTGGTGCTGGCTGGAAGGCCACTGATGCTTCTTGGTCATCCTGTCTTTGAATTCCTATCACCCCCCCTTTTTCTGAGGCCTCTTTGGGAATTCAGGGTAGTCTCATCTTCTCAGTGTGGGCCTTCGGGTTAAATCTGTAGCAAATACTTGTTTCCTCTGGCTGTCAGGAATTTATAATCTTGGGTGTGGTCCCTAAAAGCCAGCTTTGGGGTACTTTTTGGATTCAAAGGTGAGTCTTCCCACTAGTTGTTCTATAATCTGGCAAAAGTTCCTTACTTTGGTCCTGGCTTCAGTCTTAATAATAATGATAATGATAATAATAATAATAATAAATTAAAAATTTTTTAACAATAACTAATGAAGTATTTTTATGATTTACAATTTGCAAAGCATTTTCATAGGTCATGTAATTCTTCCATAAAATTTGTAAGGTTAGTAGAGACAAGTAGAATTAGCACATAATGGGAGCTTATTTAAATATTTGTTGAATGGATCAGTTATAACCATTTTACTGCTAAGGAAATTGAGACTCAAAGAGGTCAAGTGACCTACTCAAGGCCCCACTGCCCAGGAGGGACTCAAACTCACATCTTCTGACTTTTTTTATTCCAGACCAGCTCTGATATAATAGTGTTTTTATTTTATTTTATTTTTTAAAAGATTTTATTTATTTATTTGACACAGAGAGAGACAGCAAGAGAGATAACACAGCAGGGGGAGTGGGAAAGGGAGAAGCAGGCTTCCCACCGAGCAGGGAGCCCAATGCGGGGCTTGATCCCAGGACCCTGGGATCATGACCTGAGCCGAAGGTAGACACTTAACCAATTGAGCCACCCAGGCGCCCCTGATATAGCAGTGTTTTACATGCTATTTGTTGTCCTTTCTCCAGGAAAGTGTTTTTGATTCTCTAAAAAAAAGATTCTGGGAAAATGTAAATGGATGGCTATACTCTCAAAGGGGTGACAGAGCCTTGCCTGTACTTCTGTGTACATGTTTCTTAGGTTCCTTCCTCTGCCAGAAATGTATATCCTTCAGGACATGACTATTTGGATACATACCTTATTGGAAGATAAGAACACAAGGTCATGTCAAAAAAACGACTGTCTTGGATTTTTCCTATTTCTTGGACTTTCAGGCATTATACTGCATAGATCTAAAACTACTACCAGAGTTTTGGATGTGCGGCTGAACAATTTTCTCTAGCTTTGTGTCTTGCAGTCCTGGGAAGAGTCCCGCAGTGCTATCATTTGGGCGGGGGCTGGTGTTCAGGGAACAGCAGTTGTCTGGCCCTATAGTAGTTGCTACAGCTGCTCCCACTGCTGGGGGAAATGTCACTTTGATCAGCTCAGATATTAGAATAATAAGAAAAGAACCCCTTGTTCTACCAAAGCCGAGACTTCGGCTGTGGGGTTGTGCCCATGCACCAGTAACATTCCATCTGCTTGCCAGGGACTTCCTTCAACCCCGTGAATACCAGGAGCAGAGAGGAGGAAGAATTTCCCTCCTAAGTCTAAAGCTAATTAGAGAGGAATGCCAGTGGGTATCCGCCTAAGGGCCTTTCCCTTTGACTTCTGTAACTGGAGACTCAAAGCGTTGGCTAAGAGATTTCTCCCAGAGGAAAGCTGCAAAAACCATTTGGATTACTTCTTAACTGAACTGATACTCCCCCCGCCACCCAACATGCAATGGTATCACCACCTAGGTGGTCTCAGACTTGCCAGTCTGTTTCTTAATGGTTTCTGCGCCTTGTTTAGGAAAGCCTTTCTCAAGTGAAGGTTATAAGGATTTCTTCTGACACTTATGAAGCTTTATAGTTTTAGTTGTTATTGCATTATTTATTTATAGTTAGCTCTTTTATCCGTCTGAAGTGTATTTTTGATATGGTGTGAGACCTGATGTTAATTATTTCCTTTATGGATGTCAGTTTTTCCCCTCTGCTGTCTTTTTTTTTTTTTTAATAACTTTTTAACTTTGGGATAGTTTTAGAATTACAGAGAAGTTGCATAGATAGTACAGAGAGTTCCTATATATCCCTCTCAGCTGCTTTTTGATTTGAAAGGATATTTTTGCCTGGTCCTAAATTCCTACATATACACAGATGTCTTTCTAGAATCTCACTTTTATTCTATTGATGCGTTTACTATTTTTGTCCCAATATCACATGTTTAATTAATATTATTTCCAGAGAGTTCATAGCTTTTGGTAGGGAATCTGAGATCTCACAGGGCTTTTAAGGGGTCACATTCAGACTTCAGGCAGGGGAGGGATTAGTAACCCTGTTTATGGATGTTGCTGCTGCTGAGGGGACTGGCCAGGAAAGAGCACATGCATCTCGCTGGTACATAGGGAGGGAGGTCATCATTAGTGACCTGCCCCTTGTACAGAATGCCCTATTCTCTGAGCACAAGCCTTGGACACAGTGGCAAGGATGAGGCTCTGGAGTAGGGATTCTCCTCAGTACTGTTGACATTTGGGGACTGGTAATTCTTTTTTTTTTTAAGATTTTTTATATTTTACAGAGAGAGCGCAGGAGAGAGCACAAGCAGGGAGAGCAGCAGAGGGAGAGAGAGAAGCAGGCTCCCTGCTGAGCAGGGATCCCTATGCGGGTCTTGATCCCAGGACCCTGGGATCATGACCTGAACCGAAGGCAGACGCTAAACGGACTGAGCCACCCACGTGCCATGGGGACTGGTAATTCCTGGCTATGGGACTATCGTGTGCATTGTGTAGGATGTTTAGCAGCATCCTTGGCCTCTACCTGCCAGATACCACTGGCACCCTTGACTACTCAAGACAATCAAAATTTTCTGCAGACATTGCAAGTATGCTTAGGTGTCACCACCCCCCCAACCCCTGCAGTGATTGAGAAGCACCTCTCTGAAGTCAAGCTATGTGAGAGTTGAACCCTGGCCCTACTAGGAGGCCCTAGCCATGTGCCTCCATTTCCTCCCGTGTAAACTGCAGATGCAAATTATAATGGCGCCTGTCTCCTAGGATGGTCCTGAGGACCAATGGAACAAATACACATGAAGCACTCAGAACAGACCCTGGTAGGACAGCCCCTAGCTCAATGTTAGCTATTACTATTATTTTAAAAAGTCCTTTATATTTGATCTCATGCCTAATAACCACACAGACTTCCACTAATCCCTCCCCTGCCTGAAGTCTGAATGTGACCCCTTAAAAGCCCTGTGTGATTTTTCTACTACCTCCATATCTTCTCCACCATGGAGCAACTGTGTTGAAATGGACGGTATTTGCCAAAAAAATTACATGTCTTCGTTAATGAAATGGAACTCTATTTTCAGAGTTCCGTGACTGCTAATTAATCAACTCCCATGATAAACTCCTCTGAGCTGCGTGTGAATTTTATTTGCAGCCCCAGAAGAGCAATTCCAGTTAGTTAACAGGCTTTTAAGTGACAGTCCAGCTCTGTGAGCAGCAGAAAAGCCCAGAAATGATTTTCTAAGCAAGGTGGTAATGACAGTGGGAAGAGAGAAATCTGGGATAAGGAGAAGACTGAGGATTTACATGATTCATTCACTGGATGGCTTCGGGAATGCTGTGTTCATTTTCCGTCGAAAGGCACCATCATCTTGCAAGGCAGAGGGGGATGGATGGAAGATGTGCCTTCCTGCAGTTCATGTCACTTAGTTGCCCACCCCCCTTCTTTTTTTCGTAGCAGTAGCTTTTGTGACACCATAATGTTTGCTATTAAGCTTGCCTGAGAACTCGTCTTGTGGGGATGATTATTTTTAGTGTTTAAGACGATCTGGCTGACACGGAGTTTTGGGCTGTCTCTGCCTTTGTCCAAAGAGCTCACTTCCTCAAGTGAAACCAGGATTTGGT